TGCACGTATGGCCTCTATCCCCATGCGTATCCAGGCAGTACCACATCCTTTTGTTGCACTGCTCTAGCCGACAGTGATCACAGACCACTATACATCTGAAGATAGCCCCGGCAGGCTCCCATCGGCCTACCCCAGGGGTAGCCCCTTGGGGCCTGCACAGTATCCATCCCTGTTCCGGGATCGCCTCTGTTAGCTCTTTTGCATAGCCGGACCGGGTGCTCGCCGCGAGGAAGTCCTCATCCTCTAGCTTGTATATCCAGTTGGGGTCGTGTATCGCCCCCTTGCCGCTGACATCGCGGCCTCTATCCGACAGCTGCGATAGCCTTCTATCCTGGCGACTGCCCTTCTCATAGCTCCCCAGGGGCCACTGGGCCCTAGCAATGTATAGCCAGGTCTGATCGATCATGCCGCTATCCGGGCCGAGTGGTCGCCCCTTGGCTTGACTAGGGCGGGGGCGCCATTACCCGGTGCACCACATCGGGCTCTTCGCGAAGTAGCCGTTCAGTGGGCCTATCCAGGTTGATGTTCACCGCAGCTCCCTGCTGGAGCGCGGGCCTCTCCGGAGCTATCCGGCCGTCTCCGGCCATAGCCTCCCACTGGGCCTCGTTGTATCGGCCCGCTCCTAGCCTTCTGTCCAGCGGGGGGCTGCTATCCGGGTGGATGTAGCCACGGTCGCTATCCCCACCGCGTCCTTTGGTGGTGCTCTTAGCCTGCGGCCTCAAGGGCGGAAAGGGATCGTATCCCGGCTCGCCCTTGCCTGGCTGCTGTCTATCCTGGTTGCTATCCGGACCGTCCTGAAAGGTGCCTATCCGGAAGACCTCCTCCATCCTAGCCACATAGGCCGGGACGTCCGAAGGCGGGCCACGGTAGCCCTGCATGCATCTAGCCAGAAACTGCTTCAAGCTTTCGCCCTGGGCGGGGTACTCTGTACTCGCCCTTAGCGGTGTAGCCGTGGTCTCTGCCGCGGCTGCCCTAGCCTGCTGTAGCCCCGGACCCGGATTGACGACCTGGGCCGGGTCTAGCCCAGCCGAGAACGGCAGGGTGGTAGCCGTTTCTTCTTTATCCGCTGCACTCCCCTGCCGCAGCTTGTTCTTAGCCTTGGACTCTTGGACCGTCGGCGGGTCCCTAGCCGGCTTCTTGGGCCTCGCCGCTGTGCTATCCCCTGTGCTGGCCTCCTCTGCCCCAGGATGGGGCTCCTCTTGCCTGGCAACAGGGGTAGCCGTGCCGCGGACCTCCGCCTCTAGCTCCTTGAGCTTAGCCATCATCTCGTGTAGCATGTCTAGCCGTTCGGGTGGCGGCCTGGCGCTAGACCAGGTAGCCTCCGGGGCCTCCCCCTGCCAGCTCGTTATCCGTGACGCTATCCTCCTCCAGGGTCTCCCCTGGTCGGTGTGGTCGTAGCCCGGCCAGCTGCCGATTCTTCTCTATCCTCTGCTGAGATATCGTCCCAAGACTTAGCTCCTTGGAACTTGAGTAGCCTAGCAGATAGCCGGCCGCCAGGCTGTATGCTAGCTCCCTCCTGGCACTCGGCTAGCCTCATGTCTCTAGCCTTTAAGCTGGAGAAGCTCGTGCTGCTTATCCAGACTCAGCCGATCGTATATCTGCTCGGCCAAGCTAGCCGGGTCAGTCTCTAGCCAGTCCTCTAAGAGGCGTAGCACTTCTATCCGTTGCGCCTGGACGCTAGCCGACTCAGTCTGGTCTGCCCAGCTGGGGGCAGTAGCCATGTGCCGCTATCCGGCCCGAGGGCACGCAGGCTCGCCCACCTAGCGTGGGCTCTCCAGAAAAGCTGGTGGTCCGTTACTCCACCCTAGCCACAGTAGCCGCAGCAAGTGCATTTGTGCCGTGCCCTAGCCCACAAGTGCACACTCAGCCGGACATGTGCGCATGCAGCCTAGCCTGCTTAAGAACCTCGCAGCCTACGTCCTAGCCAGCAGACAAGACAGCAAGTGCAACAACGTGATTCTCTCCTCTCTCTCTCCTCTCTTCTCTCCCCTTCTTTCTCCCCCTGGGCCCGCCGCCCCCGGAGAGATGGGAAGGAAAGAGTATATCCCGAGAGGCCCCCCGGACGTATCCCCCCGTTGTCCAGCCCCGCTGCTTTCCCGGCGTTTCTATCCCTTCAGGCAAAAGGCGGTCCCCAGCCGAACGGAATAGCCGGCAACGGAGCTATCGGCAACTGGGGTATTATCCCCGGAGGTACTCCCTGCAGCTCTGCTGCTGGGACCTCTCCGAAATCTTCTTTGTTCCGGCTTCTGGTCGCCGGTGCTAGCCTGAGAGGTGTCGCTATCACCAGACGGGGACTCTTCGCCTCGGCCTTTCGGCCAGCATAGCCTACAGACATGCGTGTACTGGTTGGGTTCGGGCCTCGCCGAAAACTCTTGGGAGTTCTTAAATATCCTACGGCGGCCCATCCAGCACCCGGCCTGGCCCCCCTTGTGTAGCCTGTACTTCTTCCCTGGAAGCTCAACTATGATATAGCTCGTGCACCTAGCCTTCTTAAGGAGCTGCCTCGGCCGGTTCCGGTTGGGTTCCGGTCCCAGCTCCGGCTCACTAGCCGAGGAGTCGGGTCTATCTTCGGGAGGATCGCTCGCCACGACTTCTTCAGGTATCCCCGGACCAGCCACCATCTCCACGATGCGCTCGCTAGCCCACTCTCGTCGCAGCTCTCCAGACAGCTTCTCAGCTTCCTGCTCGCTAGCCTTGCCGGTCCGGAAAAGCCAGCCTCCAAGATCGCCAGCAATCTCCCTCTCATCTAGCTGCTCTTCTCGGTCCCGAGCTCTAGCCGCCTCTGCGTAGATAGCCTGGAGTCGGGCGACCCTTCCGCCATAGGAGCGGATGTAGGTATCCGAGCCCTCGGGCTTCCAGCGTCCTAGCATATCTCTATCTGCCGGCGGGATCGGCTTTAGGCTCAGCCCGGTGGGTAGCACTGCTCTCTCACTGTGCTCCGACCAGTAGCCACGGGCAACCGTCGGGATCCCCACCATAGCCAGTAGCCCCGCTGTTGCCACCATCGCATCTGCGTCGGTAGCCATCTTCTTCTCCAGGGCGCCTCTCTCGCCTAGCCTGGGCATGAGATAGTCCCGCTGGTAGCCCGCGTGGTTCTTTAGCAGGTCGAAGCCCGCCTGTAGCCAGCCAGGGTCCTCGAAGTAGGCTCTCTCCGAGATGCATACAGGTAGCTCCCGTATGCGCCTGTTAGCCCCGGTGGTTTTCGTCCGTCGCAGGATGGTGGATAGCCGACCTTCCACCATAGCCAGTTCGTTTGGGACCATAGCCTGGAGGTCCGACCATCGCAAGCTGCCCCAAACCTTTAGGAGTTTAGCCCAGGCCCAAGCTCTCCAGCCGACGGCCACAGTTGTATCCAGGACCAGGCGCTCCCACCTAGCCAAGATAGCCGCAGGATATCGGGGGGCTCGCCGCGTCCAGGGCGCCTTCCAGGATAGCCTCTCGACGACCGTATCCTTGATCGCCCACGCTATCCTGCCTGACGACTCGGTCGCCCATTCCGCGACCCTCTCTATCCAGCTGATGGCCTTGAGGATCGCCTCGGGGACCGTTCGCCCGCAGGGCTCGTCGCCCCTAGCCATTATGTAGTCGGCCAGGTCGGCCGGTAGCCCAGGGGGGCGTCCACTCTTAGCCTCCCGTAGCCATAGCCGCCATCTCACGTGTATCGAGACGTAGCGCTTGAGAGTGCTAGCCCGGGTTTTCCCCGCTAGCGCCAACACCGCTCTATCCGGGTCCAGGCACCCCTGTAGCTTCTTCAGCACCGGCGCCTCGCACAATTCTAGCTCTTCCTTGAGCTTAATAGCCCAGGTTGCTTGTAGCCTTTCTTCCCTAGCCTGCGCCAGGGAGCCCTCGTTGACCAAGCGCTTCTGCCTATCCCCTTTCGGGGGCTCCGGCTCGCTATCTTCCTGAAGGTCGATGCCTTCGATCGCCGGCCGCTTGCTGAGGTTAACCCACGCTAGCGAAGTCGCCCTGTATCCCGACGTTCTCTCCACCAGGTCCCGAGCTTCCCGGGCCTCTTGTATCCACAGGTAGATCGAGTCGCCGATGTACTCGTCGTAGCCAACGCCCAGCTCCTCGGCCACTTGGTGCCCAATATCCTCCGCGTCCTCTAGGCGAGGGTAGCCAGCTCGAGCACACCGAAGCCCCGCGACGCCAGATGCTCATGGCATCTATCCAGCACCGCACGCTTCTGCACAAGAGCGCTATCCCGCAAGGACGGAAGTCCGATGGGGCTCCCTATCCCTCCGGAGGGGGTAGCCGGTCCAACGCCCTGCTCTTCCGGCACAGCCGTGGGCAAGACGGTTGGACTCCCTGGCTCCTCGCCTCCAGGACTAGCCGGAATCACCGTAGTAGCTGGAGACTGTGGGCTAGCCGTCCGCGAAGCAGAAGGGGAGCGCGGGGAGGCCATTCTCGCTTGGCTAAATAGCCAAGTTCCCCTTCTATCCCCCACTACTTCAAAATTACCCCCCCTGATGGGGGACTTGAGCCAAAATGGCTACTTCAAAATTACCCCCCCCTGATGGGGGACTTTATCCAGAATGGCCACGGTCACACACCGTCGTAGCCATTCCAAGTCACAGCTATCCTGTCTTCGCATGTCAGAGGCAACTCTCCTGCGAGCGACGATAGCGAACGAAACTTCGTTTCTAGCGAAGCTACCTTCGATAGCTTCGAGTAGTAATAGGTAAGCTAGCACACATAGTCGTAACTCGTTCCTCGTCACGAGGTACGGCTTGGTGTGGCAACACGCCCTCCAGCTCCACCTCCGTCCAGAGGTCTGCGAGGGTGTGCACTTCCTCGATGGAGAGGGATTTCAGGAAAGGCACATCCCATCCGTCGAGCCCGGGGGCCTTGCACGGCATCGAGCGGATGTACCGATACATCTGTCGCCCCGTGACAGCGGGCAGCTGCCTGGCTTGCTCAACGGCTCGTTGGCGAAGCTCTGGGAAGTAGGGGGTGGACTTCCCCGGGCTTGCCACAGAGTGGCCCAGTACTTGAGTCGCTCATATGGTCGAGACTCTGCTGTCACTTCAGTGAAAGGCCTCGCCACGTTGGTTTCAGCTTTGGCTAGGCAGCGAAAAAGCGGTCGCATGCCACGCCGGGTGCCCAACACGAGCCATTCGGCAACCGCGTCGGTTTCAGCCTTCCGGGCCCGTTGATGCTCCTCGTCGCGGAGCTGAAGGGTTGACGGTCGGCCATCCTCCGCCGCCCCGAGGGCACAGAGGAAGTCCTGGGGAGAGGAGGCCTCAATCCCTTGCTCTGTGAGGTGGAGGGTGGTCGCTTCCACGGCCTCCGGTGGCATGTTGCCAACCAACGTTTCAATTCTCCGGAGGTGCTTCTTCGGGTGCTCCCAAAAGGAGGCCAGTCGACTCCAGAAAGCAGCTACGTGGCCCCTCCACGGGTAGGACCAGTCTTGCTGCATGAGGGGCTTGTGCTGGAGGGGGTTGTTGGTGCCTCTCCCTCCTTCGTTGGTGAAATGTCGTGCCGCCATCCCGGCGGTGATGCCCGCGAAACGGCAGGTCAGGGGATTTGACCGGATAGGTTGGGCCCCAATCTTCCCCAGATCGGGGGCAACAAAAGCCGGGTCGGCGGGAGCCATCTCATCCCGCAGGGCCCCTTGGTAGCCGGCTAACTGAGGCAACGACACAAGACCATGTTGCACAGTCTCGGCCCACGAGGTGCCTTGAAACTCGGAGGGAGGCGCGTTCCAGTCTCCAATCGCAATCCAGTTGCGGAAATCGCGGAGTGCCGGCCTGAGGGCCGCGAGGACTTCTGGGTTGCACCCTGCGTGGATTCCCGCTCCGCTTTGAAGGTACACGCAGACGACCATGAGGGTCCATCGTAGGCGCGGGAGGGCGACCGCCACGTAGCCGCAGCCTTCCTCCGTGATCATGCCACCACAAGCTTGACCCTGCATGTTGGCGGGGACCAAGAGGCCAATGCCACCTCGAGTGGGGTAGGGACGATCGCCCTTTGGCGGCGTGAAGAGATGGAAGCGGCACTTTGCAGCCTCGATGCGGAGCTGAGTGAGGCCCGCGTCATTGAGGTGCAACTCCTGCAGCACAAGGACTCCCTTCGTGGCCGGGTGCCAAGTTAGCAGTTCCCTTTTCCAGGTGGTCACGTTGGCGCTTGTGATGTGGATGGGGTTGGCAGGGGAAATGGCTCCCTGAGCGGCGATGTCGTTGGCAAATGCGGCCGCTAGCGGGGGATCCAACCACCCCGCCATCAAGGAGGTCCCAACCGAGGCTGTATGCGAGGCTGCCGCCGAAGGCCACGATAGCCTCCTCGCGGCATCCTCGAGGCTCATTGCCTCAGTGCAAGCTGAGGCGAGCTGCTCAGCAATGGGCTGGAGCGGTGAGGGCGTGACCGAGGCAACTGGGCGCCGTTTTCGGGCCCTTTCTGGGTGACCCTGGTTTTGCTCTGAGGCGCCTGTTCTGCTGCGGCGAAGCCACGCAAGATTGTGAGAGAAAAAACCTGGGGCCACTAACACAGTTATCCACTGAGGGCAGGGCTCCAGATCGTTGTCTGCAAAACTGGCGGTTGCGACGAGCCGGCTGAACAAAATCATCAGGGGTGTTGTGGCCTCCCTCGTCGGCGGGTGTTGGAGTGGGAAAACCACTTCCACTCCCTAGTCCGCCCTGGAGGCTCACTCCCTACTCTGTGCTGTGCTTGTTGCTCTCCTCCTCGCCGGCATGGCTTTCGCCGTTCTTCGGGGGAGTGCGGCGTCGCTGACGCCCGCAGACCCCTTGGGCTGACCGGCTGGGCCGGGGCTGGCAGGGGGTTGGCTCCCTGCTGGGCTGTTGGCTGTGTGCCTTGCAAGCCAAGGTGGAAAGCCGGCAACCCCGGCGGTGCACCAACCTCGGGAGGCCTTTGCCTTTTCTTGGCTTTGGCGCGGTACTCGGCCAGCTTCTCCTGCTGCTCGTCAGAGAGGGTCAGGCCAAGGATGGTGAACAGTTCGTCCACATCCATTGGCTCAGGAGTGTCTGGCACGTCCTGTACCCCGGTTCACAGCCTTTGTGAGCTCGAGCTTGGCCTTTTCCACCGCGTTCTCAACCTCGTGGATCTTCTCGGTCGTCTCCTGGAGCTCCTGCAGCTGCAGGCGGAGGGATTCCTTCGCCTCCTCTATGCTCTCGAGCAGCTTGATCTTCTTGTGGATGGAGCTGGCCTTGGTGAGATCCTTGTTGGATTGCATGGCCTTTTCTCCCCCGCCTCCACAAGCGCCGTGCGGATATCCTCCGGCAACTCATCCTGGCGCTGCACGAGCAGGCTCAGGAGAGGGTCGGTCTGGGACTCGACCGCATCTTCTGCTTGGGAGGTCCTTTCCATCCCGCTTGTGTGAGGCGCGATCGTGCCTCTTCCGGGATTTGATCCCAGATGGTCGTGACCGCACGTTTGAGGCGGCGTTCTTCCTCGCGCCTTTCCTTGCGGTCGGGGCCGCGCTGAGGAGAGGGGGAAGAGGACGGAGACTTAGGGTGCTTCTGGGGGCTCCTGGGCTGCTGTCGAGCCGGAGCCGGCGGGGTGGGCCACTTCTTCCCACACTGCTGGCAGTGTGTCTGGCCCTGCTGCCCCTTGGAGCACCACGTCCAGGCGCCGCCGTCGTGGCGGGACACAGGTGTGCCGGGAAGAGCCAACGGTGAGGGGAGGAGGCCTCGACCCTCAGTTCCACCAGGTATCCGATCATGGCGCCCACCGGCCCGCATATGACCTTCCACCGGTCCTTCCGCTGGAGCTGCGCCCAGAGGGAGTGCCACGTGCGCTCCAGCTGCTCGCGGTCCGGCAGCGCGCATAAACTTTGCCGAGGGCCGCCCAGTGCTGGGCGATGATGGAGGTACGCGGGTCTTTTGTTGGGGCCCCCAAGTTCGAGCGCAACCTCCACACTGCCGGTCAGCACCCTCCTAGACACCTGACGGAGGCTCTGCATGACCTTGGGCGACACCCCCTGTCCCCAGTTTCCCGACGCCATGACGCTCATGGAGAAAAGCCTGGATCGGACCCTGAGGGCCGGCAAGCGGAGAGACTGGAGCTTCGCGAATCGCCGGTTGGCCTTCAAGCGCCGCCGATTGGAAGGTAGTGCGGCGTCGCCCGGCTGCCGTTTCCATGCCGAGATCCTTTGTGGTTTGGCGCACCGGGGGGTCGTCCTTCCCCAGTTTTCGGTGGAGCGCGCGTTCCGCCTCCGGTGAGCTAGCCAGGAAATGTGTCTTTGAGGCAGACACCTCATTGCCCTCAGCCTCCAACGCGTTGTGGAGACGGCGGAAGAGGGTGATATGAACGACATCGGCCGAGACGTCGTCCACCCAACATCCTACGAAGTCCGCCAGGGTGCCTGTACAAGCAGCCCTGATGGGCTTGCCTATCGATAGTTTCGATACAGTATGGTACGCCCTGGCGGCGTGTATTTTCGTGTGTTCATGTTTTCACCTGCGTTCGCAGATGGCAAGCTTAGCAAGCTTTTCACTTCCAACCACATTGTTTTAGATGCATACAAATACGACGTGTTGTGAATTGTTACTTTGAGTTTCCACGAAACCATTGACTTGACCGAATACTTGTCCGAGAGATAAAGTACAGGACAATCGCTCAAAAGAGATCCCGAAGGTGGAGGGCATAAGGGCACGGCCTTAAGGTGTGGCTGTGGGCATGGAGGCCTGGAGGCCTCTCGTGGTGGGCTGCTCTCTGGTATTTTTTTTTTTTTTTTTTTTTGGGCCCCCCCCCCCCCCCCCCGCAGGCAGGACCTTATGGACGGACATCCGGAGGTAAGCAGGGTATGTCTGGGGCCTTCGGCCTTTGGCATTCCAGTTCCCGCACTACGCGATCATCTCAAGCTTTCCAGTGTGCCACCAATCCTATCCTATCAAATGAAACATCCCTCCATGAACAAGATTACGCGTGATATTCTTGTCCACCACTGGGAAAGCGGCTCCCACACCTGAAAACGGTGACATTACTTACGGATGACACTTATACATGACAAAAGTATGATGGGTAGTACATTCTACACGTTAAAAAGTACGATGGGAATGACGTCCTTGTACCTCGACTCATGGTGACCTGGTCTCGACACCCTCAATTATGATGGTCCAAACCGTCTAAGAAGATGACGGGTGGCGAACCCACAACCCTACACTGAAAGTCATGCTTGGCTTCCAACATTCCAAAACATCGTACAAAATGTTGGGCCCTCATCCGCAAGCTCGGACAATGAAAGATAAGTTGCAAGCCACAACATACTTGTGACATTTGGGGTGGAACATAGATGCTTACCTACAAGCCAACCTTGGTAGACAGATGTTAGTTTATACCTACATATATATATATGTATATATGTGTATATACATGTTGATATATGTGTATAGGTTTGATATATACATGCAGACATACATACACACCTACATATGGATGTGTATGTGTACATACCCACATGCTCATGCCTTTCCAAAGCTTATAAACACATACATATATGTATACTATATATACATACATGGGTACATATATATATATATATGTATCACGGAAACATGTGCATTGTTTCCGGAATATACATGCAAACATATGTATATGCAACGGGTAGGCATTTAGGCAGCTACAGGCTCAAACAAGAAAATGGACGGCCTCAGGCTCCTATCCCAAATCCCGCAGCGGCATGGTGGGTGAAGGATGGCGAATATCAAGTCTGTGCGTAAGCACGGCCTCCATACCTGTACATATATACAGCTACATACACAAATATACGTTTAGACAGAAACACACGATGCACTGTGGAAGCTCATGCATACCTATACCATACGCATGCAAGTTCGTGCACTTTGGAAGCCCATGCATACATACACACAGATATGTGTGTATAAATACATGTCTTTATATATATATATATATGTCGAGGAATTTTATGTGATGTACATGCGAGTACCTGTCTATGTAACCGGGGAGACTAATGCAGTTACACTTTCAATCTAAACTGGAGCCTTGGAAGGGTATCATGGGCGGATGAGTTTAAATATATACATACATACATACATACACACACGACTTTCCGTGCATCACGGAGATAGGTAATTTACTCGTAATTGGGTGAATGATCGCGAACAAGAGGTTTTAAATAGAACGACTGCAAAACATGCCCAATTACACCGAAAGCCAATCCCTAAAAGGTGTGGCTCCCTGCCAGAACTGCAAATCACAATAGGGACACCGGAAAAAAGAAGGCCAGAGTCTGAAAATTTTGGCACATATCACGGGCGACATTTATCCAATAAAGATATATGGTGACTAGCAAACCCAAGTACCCAAAAGGATGATGTGTGTCCAGAGCATCCAAACTCTACTGGAAGATATTTGGCCGAAACCGAGGCCAGACAAGGATGTGATGGGCCAATGCCCCTGAGGAGTTCGACGAGTGGCGGAACCACAACTGGATCCTCAAATCGGTCACTGTTTTCCCAAATACACGCAGCTTAGGAGATGTTGCACTTTCAATCAAATGCTTCAGTGAACTGAAGAAATGACGGGTGGCAAACCCAAAAACTCTTTCAAAGGTGGAAAGCCCCTTAAAGCTTGACACCTGTCGGAATTTAGATATCCCGTTTCCCACGACTTCAGATGCGGTATGCTGCAGCCTATGCCACAATTTCATTCCCCAGTGCAAGACATGATATATACAAGAAGTTGCAAGTCAACATTAGTATGCACATACAAATATGGGCCTGTAATGGGTCCTACTCTCTTTAGATATATGTATGTATCGTATGATTTTACATGCTCGTACAGAGTTAGAATCAGAAAATGTGGATGTATAGTTGCATCCATGCAGGAGCACACATGTACTCCTATGCGACATGTCAGTCTGCATATACACATTGACATATTGACATAATTACATACCTATATTCATACACACATATGTATGGGCTAGGTCTGCATGTAGATAATATCCGCAACGAATGTTCTTATAACCGTTTATCCTGATCTTGATATGCGGCGTGTTAGGGGCGAATGGTAGAGATGAAGAATTGCGTGCATGTCCTTTTCGGTCCTGAGTTTAGTGGAGCTAGACAGCTTTCGCAGCAGTAAAACCATCTATTAAAACTCGAGAAAAAACACGGGATTCCTCGAAAATGCACGCCGCCACGGCGTACCAGTCTCTTTCGATAGGAGAGGAGCCAGCGGACAACCCGCTACTATTCCTCGCGCTGCGAAAACGCATGGTGATGCGACGGAGTCGGCAGTCACGATGCGACCGCCACGATAGGCTTGCATCCCTTAGTTGAGGAGAAGCGGCGGAAAGCCCCATTGGGCTGCTTCTTCACACAACTTTTCGTGGCTCACGCGTTCATAAAATGTGCTCAAATCGAAGAAAATGGTGCAACGGTGCACCTTGTCCACCCGGCACGCTTCGTACAGAAACGCGCGTCGCAGGGATGCATCGTGGGTGCTGCGGGAAGGCAGGGCCGAATCCCACCACAAAGAGGCCCGGTTGGCCTCGATCCAGGAGCTAGCGAGCTCCCATCGGCACTTGATGCCTAATTTCAGGAAGGTGGACATCAGGCCGATTGGCCTTTCCACCTTCTCGTTTTTAGGGAGCATGACGTACTGGGTAAAGGAGGCTTGGTGTGGTAAAACGCCCTCCAGCTCCACCTCCCTCCAGAGGTCTGCGAGGGTGTGCACTTCCTCGATGGAGAGGGATTTCAGGAAAGGCACATCCCATCCGTCGAGCCCAGGGGCCTTACACGGCATCGAGCGGATGTACCGATACATTTGTCGCCCCGTGAACAGCGGGCAGCTGCCTGGCTTGCTCAACGGCTCGTTGGCGAAGCTCTGGGAGGTAGGGGGGTGGACTTCCCCGGGCTTGCCACAGAGTGGCCCAGTACTTGAGTCGCTCATATGGTCGAGACTCAGCTGTCACTTCAGTGAAAGGCCTCCCCACGTTGGTTTCAGCTTTGGATAGGCAGCGAAAAAGCGGTCGCATGCCACGCCGGGTGCCCAGCACGAGCCATTCGGCCACCGCGTCGGCTTCAGCCTTCCGGGCCCGTTGATGCTCCTCGTCGCGGAGCTGTCGGACCACTGCAAGGGTTGACGATCGGCCATCCTCCGCCGCCCCGAGGGCACAGAGGAAGTCCTGGGGAGAGGAGGCCTCAATCCCTTGCTTTGTGAGGTGGAGGGTGGTCGCTTCCACCGCCTCCGGTTGCCAACCAACGTTTCAATTCTCCGGAGGTGCTTCTTCGGGTGCTCCCAAAAGGAGGCCAGTCGACTCCAGAAAGCAGCTATGTGGCCCCTCCACGGGTAGGACCAGTCTTGCTGCATGAGGGGCTTGTGCTGGAGGGGGTTGTTGGTGCCTCTCGAGCCCTCCTTCGTTGGTGAAATGTCGTGCCGCCATCCCGGCGGTGATGCCCGCGACCGGATAGGTTCGGCCCCGATCTTCCCCAGACCGGGGGCAACAAAAGCCGGGTCGGCAGGAGCCACTTCATCCCGCAGGGCCCCTTGGTAGCCGGCTAGCTGAGGCAACGACACAAGACCATGTTGGACGTTGAGGGTGAAGGAGACCGCGGCGTGGGGCGAGAAGGGAACCTCCCACACCGTCTTTACGCTGGTCAAAGACACCAGCGGCCTCGATAAAAGGGCGTAGTCGAGGGTGTTGCCCGTGTTTATGGTCGGACCCTCAGGTGCAAGAAGGGCCCCTCCCACAGTCTCGGCCCATGAGGTGCCTTGAAACTCGGAGGGAGCCGCGTTCCAGTCTCCAACCACAATCCAGTTGCGGAATTCGCGGAGCGCGGCCTGAGGGCCGCGAGGACTTCCGGGTTGCAACCTGCGTGGATTCCCACTGCGCTTTGAAGGTACACGCAGACGACCATGAGGGTCCATCGCCTCCGTGATCATGCCACCACAGGCTTGACCCTGCATGTTGGCGGGGACCAAGAGGCCAATGCCACCTCGAGTGGGGTAGGGACGATCGCCCTTTGGCGGCGTGAAGAGATGGAAGCGGCACTTTGCAGCCTCGATGCGGAGCTGAGTGAGGCCCGCGTCATTCCTGCAGCGCAAGGACTCCCTTCGTGGCCGGGTGCCAAGTTAGCAGTTCCTTTTTCCAGGTGGTCACGTTGGCGCTTGTGATGTGGATGGGGTTGGCAGGGGAAATGGCTCCCTGAGCGGCGATGTCGTTGGCAAATGCGGCCGCTAGCGGGGGATCCAACCACCCCGATCCTTGGAGGCCATCAAGGAGGTCCCAACCGAGGCGGTATGCGAGGCTGCCGCCGAAGGCCACGATAGCCTCCTCGGCATCCTCGAGGCTCATTGCCTCAGTGCAAGCTGAGGCGAGCTGCTCAGCAATGGGCTGGAGCGGTGAGGGCGTGACCGAGGCAACTGGGCGCCGGGCCCTCCCTGGTGACCCTGGTTTTGCTCTGAGGCGCCTGTTCCACCGGGGGAGCACTGCCCCGTGTGCGGCTGGGTCGATGGCCGCTCGGAGTCCTGAGTGGCCGTCTTCCCTCGGGCCACTCCTGAGCATTGCAAGCATCCCGTGAGGCAGTCGGCAGAGTTTGAGGCATGCCGCCTCGTGAGTAACCCTTGCCCTGGGGGGGACCCCCAACAGTGGTCACCACATCCTGCAAGCAGAGCTGGGCTCGGTGTCTCGGGACCTGGGCCTTTGCAGGGCTGTCGCCCGTAGGGGGCTGCCATGTTGCCCAAAACATGGCGTTGGATCTGCGGATCCGGCGTGCCTGTGGAGAAAGTGACGGCTCCGGCGGTTGCCTAGGTGCTGCGGCTCATACCTGCACCAGGGACGCCGGAAGTGGAGCATCTCCACCCTGGGAGTGGCCTCCACATTCCCATTCTCGAAACATGGGAGGGGAAGGTCGCCTTTGAGTCGGTTAAAAACTTCTGTGGCGAAGCCACGCGAGATTGTGAAAGAAAGAACCTGGGGCCACTAACACAGTTATCCACTGAGGGCAGGGCTCCACCTCCACTCCCTGGTCCGCCCTGGAGGCTCACTCCCTACTCTGTGACGTGCTTGTTGCTTTTCTCCTCCTCGCCGGCCTGGCTCTCGCTGTTCTTCGGGGGAGTGCGGCTTCGCTGACGCCCGGGTGCACCCTCAGCCCCCTTGGGCTGACCGGCTGGGCCGGTGGGTACGGCTGGCAACGAATTGGCTCCCTGCTACTGTTTGCGTGCCTTGCAAGCCGAGGTGGAAAGCCGGCAGCCCCGGGAGGCCTTTGCCTTTTCTTGGCTTTGGCGCGGTACTCGGCCAGCTTCTCCTGCTGCTCGTCAGAAAGGGTCAGGCCAAGCTTGGCCTTTTCCACCGCGTTCTCGGCCTCGTGGATCTTCTCGGTCGTCTCCTGGAGCTCCTGCAGCTGCAGGCGGAGCTCGAGCAGCTTGATCTTCTTGTGGATCAGCACTCAGAGGCGGGAGCTGGCCTTGGTGAAATCCTTGTTGGATTGCATGGCCTTTTCTCCCGGAGACGGTTCCGGACCCGTGGTCGCCTCCACAAGCGCCGTGCGGATATCCTCCGGCAACTCATCCTGGCGCTGCACGAGCAGGCTCAGGAGAGGGTCGGTCTGGGACTCGACCGCATCCTTCTGCTTGGGAGGTCCTTTCCATCCCGCTTGTGTGAGGCGCGATCGTGCCTCTTCCGGGATTTGATCCCAGATGGTCGTGACCGCAGGTTTGAGGCGGCGTTCTTCCTCGCGCCTTTCCTTGCGGTCGGGGCCACGCGGAGGGGAAGGTGAGGGACTTCGGTGGGCGCGGGCTGCCGTTCTGCTTCAGAGCAGGCGCCGGCCACTTCTTGCCGCACTGGCAGTAGTAAGGGTTGCTGTGCACCTTGTCTGCCCACGTCCACGCCCCGCACTTGCAGACGAAGTACTGGCGCTTCTGGCCCATGGCTAAGGAGTGATTGCTCACTTCCTTGCTGTCTTCCGGCCGGTCAAGGTGGAGGGCGGACCCTGTCCACTGCAGCCTCACGAAAAGCAAGGGGTGGAAGCCACTCCCAAGCCAGGGCACTATGGCTCAAAGGGAAGCTAAAGCTGGGATTGTGAGGGCCTCGGACCTGGTAGCAAAGCAGGTTGAAAGCCCCAAGCCCGTTAACACAGCACTCCCTACGGCCACCACAGGTGGCACTCGAGCCGAAAACTTGAGCCATTCCTTTTCCTTTTCCTTTCGGTCTTCCTCTACCACCTTTTCCTCTTCCGTATCCATATCCTTTGCCCTTTCCTTTGTCTCCTTTTCCTTTTCCGTAGGGGCTTCCTTTTCCTCCTTTGTCACCTTTTCCTTTTCCATCTCCCTTTCCTTTTCTCATGTGCAATCTATCAACTTCCATTGGAAGTGGTCCTTGGTAAGCCTTGTTGCTTGAGTGTGACGTTGGGTCTGGAACACTCAGTGATCCTAAAATGTTTTCAGCTGACCATGTCTGATTGCTTCTTTCATATTGTAGCAGCTTTGCTCTCAACTCTTCATACGTGGTCTTGTCAGTGATATCAACCATCACGTGCTGCTTGAGGTGCTGTGGAATTCCTTTCAGCAGTGTACCGATCTTCAAGTTGTCATCATACTTCTGCCCTGAGAGTTTTCGTGCAGTCATTGGCCGTAGTGCAGCAATTGGCACTAGTGCAGTAATTGGCAACCCTGTCGAAGGCACCTGTGAAAGGCAGCAATGACCAGTAGTGCAGTAATTAGCAGTAGTGCACTAATTGGCAGTAATGCAGTAATGACCAGTATTGCAGTCATTGGCCGTAGTGCAGCAATTGGCACTAGTGCAGTAATTGGCAGTAGTGCAGCAATTGGCAGTACTGTAGTAATTGGCAGTCGTGCAGCAATTGGCAGTAGTGCAGCAGTTGGCAGTAGTGCAGTGATGACCAGTAGTGCAGTACTGGTCATTGCCTGTCGAAGGCACCTGTGAAAGGCAGCAATGACCAGTAGTGCAGTAATTAGCAGCAGTACACTAATTGGCAGTAGTGCAGTGATGACCAGCATTGCAGTCATTGGCCGTAGTGCAGCAATTGGCACTAGCGCAGTAATTGGCAGTAGTGCAGCAATTGGCAGTACTGTAGTAATTGGCAGTCGTGCAGCAATTGGCAGTAGTGCAGTGGTGACCAGTAGTGCAGTACTGGTCATCGCTGCACTACTGCCATGAAAGGCATCCTTTTCCAAGACACCCTGTCGAAGGCACCTGTGAAAGGCAGCAATGACCAGTAGTGCAGAAATTAGCAGTAGTGCACTAATTGGCAGTAATGCAGTAATGACCAGTATTGCAGTCATTGGCCGTAGTGCAGCAATTGGCACTAGTGCAGTAATTGGCAGTCGTGCAGCAATTCGCAGTAGTGCAGCAATTGGCAGTAGTGCAGTGATGACCAGTAGTGCAGTACTGGTCATTGCCTACCGAAGGCACCTGTGAAAGGCAGCAATGACCAGCAGTAGTGCACTAAATGGCAGTAATGCAGTAATGACCAGTATTGCAGTCATTGGCCGTAGTGCAGCAATTGGCACTAGTGCAGTAATTGGCAGTCGTGCAGCAATTGGCAGTACTGCAGTAATTGGTCGTCGTGCAGCAATTGGCAGCAGTGCAGCAATTGGCAGTAGTGCAGTGATGACCAGTAGTGCAGTACTGGTCATTGCTGCACTACTGCCATGAGAGGCACCCTTTTCCAAGACACCCTGTCGAAGGCACCTGTGAAAGGCAGCAATGACCAGTAGTGCAGTAATTAGCAGCAGTGCACTAATTGGCAGTAATGCAGTAATGACCAGTATTGCAGTCATTGGCCGTAGTGCAGCAATTGACACTAGTGCAGCGATAATTGGCAGTAGCGCAGCATCATCATCATCATCAGCAGCATCATCATGACCATCTGGCAGTACTGTAGTAATTGGCAGTCGTGCAGCACTTGGCAGTACTGGTCATTGCCTGTCGAAGGCACCTGTGAAAGGCAGCAATGACCAGTAGTGCAGTAATTAGCAGTAGTGCACTAATGGCAGTAATGCAGTAATGACCAGTATTGCAGTCATTGGCCGTAGTGCAGCAATTGGCACTAGTGCAGTAATTGGCAGTCGTGCAGCAATTGGCAGTACTGTAGTAATTGGCAGTCGTGCAGCAATTGGCAGCAGTGCAGCAATTGGCAGTAGTGCAGTGATGACCAGTAGTGCAGTACTGGTCATTGCTGCACTACTGCCATGAAAGGCACCCTTTTCCAAGACACCCTGTCGAAGGCACCTGTGAAAGGCAGCAATGACCAGTAGTGCAGTAATTAGCAGTAGTGCACTAATTGGCAGTAATGCAGTAATGACCAGTATTGCAGTCATTGGCCGTAGTGCAGCAATTGACACTAGTGCAGTAATAATTGGCAGCAGCGCAGCATCATCATCATCATCAGCAGCATCATCATGACCATCTGGCAGTACTGTAGTAATTGGCAGTCGTGCAGCACTTGGCAGTACTGGTCATTGCCTGTCGAAGGCACCTGTGAAAGGCAGCAATGACCAGTAGTGCAGTAATTAGCAGTAGTGCACTAATAGTAAGGCAGTAATGCAGTAATGACCAGTATTGCAGTCATTGGCCGTAGTGCAGCAATTGGCACTAGTGCAGTAATTGGCAGTAGTGCAGCAATTGGCAGTACTGTAGTAATTGGCAGTCGCGCAGCAATTGGCAGTAGTGCAGCAATTGGCAGTAGTGCAGTGATGACCAGTAGTGCAGTACTGGTCATTGCTGCACTACTGCCACGAAAGGCACCCTTTTCCAAGACACCCTGTCGAAGGCACCTGTGAAAGGCAGCAATGACCAGTAGTGCAGTAATTAGCAGTAGTGCACTAATTGGCAGTAATGCAGTAATGACCAGTATTGCTGTCATTGGCCGTAGTGCAGCAATTGGCACTAGTGCAGTAATTGGCAGTCGTGCAGCAATTGGCAGTAGTGCAGCAATTGGCAGTAGTGCAGTGATGACCAGTAGTGCAGTACTGGTCATTGCCTGTCGAAGGCACCTGTGAAAGGCAGCAATGACCAGTAGTGCAGTAATTAGCAGAATTGGCAGCAATGCAGTAATGACCAGTATTGCAGTCATTGGCCGTAGTGAAGGCACCTGTGAAAGGCAGCAATGACCAGTAGTGCAGTAATTAGCAGTAGTGCACTAATTGGCAGTAGTGCACTAATTGGCAGTAATGCAGTAATGACCAGTGTTGCAGTCTTCGGCCGTAGTGCAGCAATTGGCAGTAGTGCCGTAATGTGCAGTAGTGCAGTAATGACCAGCAATGCAACTATTGGCAGTTAGTAGTGCAGTCATGACCAGTAGTGCAGTAACTGGCAGTTGTGTGGTAAAGTAGTGCACTAATTGGCAGTAGTGCACTAATTGGCAGTAATGCAGTAATGGCCAGTGTTGCAGTCTTCGGCCGTAGTGCAGCAATTGGCAGTAGTGCAGTAATGTGCAGTAGTGCAGTAATGACCAGCAATGCAACTATTGGCAGTTAGTAGTGCAGTCATGACCAGTAGTGCAGTAACTGGCAGTAGTGTGGTAATTGGCAGTAGTGCACTAATTGGCAGTAGTGCAGCAATGACCAGTGGTGCAGTACTTGGCAGTGGTAGTGATGACCAGTAATGCAGTATTTGGCAGTGATGCAGCGATTGGCAGTAGTGCAGCAATTGGCACCACTCTCGACTTTGTGTGCCCAGAGCTTTTGGTCACCCAAAGTCTCGATTCCGGGTGGGGAAAGGGCCGAAAGGACACTTCGGGGATTGAGCCAGGGTCCTTTTCCCTGCCACCCGCGCAAAGCCTCCGCCCACCCGTCAGGCTATGGATCTTCGAAGGATAGTCAGTCCTTGGGACGGTGGTAATTACATCAGGTGCTTCAGAGAGACTCCAGGCGCCGTCATTTGTTTTCCAAGACACCCTTTCGAAAAGGCATCTGTGAAAGGCATCCTTTCCAAGACACCCCTATCTTTCAAAAGGCACCTTTGACAGGCTCCTTTTAGGCATTCTTGAAAAGGCATCCGTGAAAGGCATCCCTTTGAAAGGCATCGTTGAAGAAACAACCATGAAAGGCACCCTTTTCCAAGACACCTTGTCCAAGGCACCTGCGAAATGCAGCAATGACCAGTAGTGCAGTAATTAATTACATGAGGTGCTTCAGAGAGACTCCAGGCGCCGTCATTTGTTTTCCAAGACACCCTTTCGAAAAGGCATCTGTGAAAGGCATCCTTTCCAAGACACCCCTATCTTTCAAAAGGCACCTTTGACAGGCTCCTTTTAGGCATTCTTGAAAAGGCATCCGTGAAAGGCATCCCTTTGAAAGGCATCGTTGAAGAGACATCCATGAAAGGCACCCTTTTCCAAGACACCCTGTCCAAGGCACCTGCGAAAGGCAGCAATGACCAGTAGTGCAGTAATTAATTACATGAGGTGCTTCAGAGAGACTCCAGGCGCCGTCATTTGTTTTCCAAGACACCCTTTCGAAAAGGCATCTGTGAAAGGCATCCTTTCCAAGACACCCCTATCTTTCAAAAGGCACCTTTGACAGGCTCCTTTTAGGCACTCTTGAAAAGGCATCCGTGAAAGGCATCCCTTTGAAAGGCATCGTTGAAGAGACATCCATGAAAGGCACCCTTTTCCAAGACACCCTGTCCAAGGCACCTGTGAAAGGCAGCAATGACCAGTAGTGCAGTAATTAGCAGTAGTGCACCAATCGGCAGTAATGCAGTAATGACCAGTATTGCAGTCATTGGGCAGGTTGCCTCCTCGCAGCCGAGGATCTGCATCGCCCCAGCTCACCTCGAGCAGCTAAATGCAGACAAAGGGTTTTATTGCAACATGACTACAGGGGGAGTTGGGTTGGCAGTATTGCAGTCATTGGCCGTAGTGCAGTCCACAACACTTCCACAACACTTTCACAACACCTCCACAGCAATTAGCAGTAGTGCAGTAATTGGTAGTACAGCAGTAGTGAGCAATGACCAGTAGTGCAGTACTTGGCAGGAGTGCAGTGATGACCAGTAATGCAGTAACTGGCAGTAATGCAGCAATTGGCAGTAGTGCATGCAGCAATTGGCAGTGGTGCAGCAAATGGCAGTAGTGCAATGGTGACCGGCTGGCTGATGGTTGAGATCCTGGCTGATCTTGGTCCTGCTGATCCTGGTTTGTGATATTGGCTGAAACTTAAGCTTGCTGAGACTGGCTGATCGAAGAAACACTGGCTGAAACTGGCTCACAATTACTGCACTACTGGTCATTATTACTGCACTACTGCCAATTTACTGCATTTGCTGCAACTGCCAATTGTTGCATTGCTGGTCATTACTGCACTACTGCACATTACTGCAGTACTGGTCATCACTGCACTACTGCCAACTGCTGCACTACGGCCGATGACTGCAATACTGATCATTGCTGCATTACTGCCAATTAGTGCACTACTGCTAATTACTGCACTGCTGGTCATTGCTGCACTATCCAGGATCAGCCAAGACCAGCTCGGATCAGCCAGTTTCAGCCAGTCTGAACCAGTTTCTGTCAGCACAAGTATCACGATCAGCCAGTCTGAGCTAACACAGGGCAGGATCAGCCAAGATCAGCCAAGATCAGGCAGGATCAGGCAGTTTGGGGCAATCTCAGCCAGTTTCAACCAGTGTTTTGGAAGTTTAATGGAAGTTGTGTCGAAGTGTTCTGCAGGTGTTGTGGAACACACCCTGGGGCAACAAGACCCTTCGCTCGTCCTGCTGCCCAGAATCCTGGCGTCGGGCTTCTAGACTATCAAAACCCTGTTCCCCTGCGGTTTGCGCTGATCTAGCCCGTAAAGGTAAGTCTTTTGATCTAAAGGTTTAATGGAAGTTTTGTCGAAGTGGTGTTGTGGAACCTTCGCTCGTCCTGCTGCCCATAATCCTGGTGTCGGGCTTCCTGACACAACATGGGGAGCATCGTTAACCACTAGACTATCAAAACCCTGTTCCCTTGCGGTTCGCGCTGATCTACCCCGTAAAGGTGTGTCTTCTTGATCTAAGGCTCGGGCAACAAGCCCACCCCTCAACCAGTTAGGCGAAATTGGTTCTTCCAACTTGCCTGTCTTGTGTAGCCCGGTGGTCTTCGCGGCGTCCGGCATCCTGGAAGCCACAGCCTGCGGGCTCGAATCCCTCCCCTCGCAAATCAACAACCCCTGGGAAGAGCGGTTGCCATCCATGGAGGTGTTAGCACTGCTCCTTATTTTTGGTATACTAGTTAGAGTTCAGGGCACCCTAACCCGAGCAGTTGAGCAGCTGGCCAATGGAACTGGATGCTGGAACTGGATCCCAACAGCATGGCGGAGTTCACCAGAGAGTGTGAAAGGAATCCAACACTGGATCTGTGGCTCGAATCCGAGCTGGGCAGGGGCAGAATGCAGTACGGCCCACCCACCACACCAAAGAAGGTACGGGACTGGTGACTACATCAACTCACCCGGACTCCCGCCGGGGCTGCGTCTTGTACTCTTTCTTTGTTTGGGCGAATTAATTACCCACACAAGCCCACGGGAACCGACCAGCAATGCAACAATTGGCAGTAGTGCAGCAAATGCAGTACATTGGCAGTAGTGCAGTAATGACCAGTAGTGCAGCTCTTGGCAGTAGCGCAGCAACTGGCAGTAGTGTGGTAATTGGCAAACTAGGTATAACCAGGATGTGAGATAACAACCACCCCCTAATATTAAAAACATTTCCGAGTTTTTATTTAGGGGGGGGCCCCCCCGTTTAATATTAGGGGGAAAAGATTACATACATACATACATAATATACATATATATATATATATATATATATATATATACACACATCATATACAGAGATACATATATACAAATATTTGGTATACACATTTGTCTGTCACCGTAATCTTTCGACTTCCCCCGCCTCTGCACGATCAGGACGTCAAGAGCGCGGTCTGGAATGATGTGCAGTGACGTGTCTGGATCTGGTTCGCTATGAGAATTCTTGTAGAACATCCGAACTCTCATAACCCCATGCAGATCCGCCACCCTGGAATCCGAGCAAGTTTGCAGGGAGGCTGATGATTTCAATCAGGCTGGAGGCTTTGCAGAAGGCAGAAGTCGCCCGTTTGGGGAAGCAGTAGTACAACCTGCCCGCATATTCCTGCTGGACGCCTGTGCCACGGCCATGGAAAGGCAAGCACCACTCTCACCGCCAACGTGTGCCCGGACCCTCCCGCGCAAGGAGCTCGTGGCGTCGCGAATCTACCTCCCAGATTGGACCTGCATTTTGACCGAAGTGTTGCTGAGGCCCACTCCCCTCCAAGTGTCACAGGGAAGCCGATGAGAATTCTGAGTCTGCATAAACTTGGACATGGCGCAAAAAAGCAAGTTGTATGCGTGCGAGCAGTGGCCAGCAGTCGCAGTGAGAGAGTTGGCACTGGGAGCGGCCAACAGTCAGGAAACCTGCCAGGCCTTCGGATCCCATGGCTCTGACTGACCCGTGGCGAGGAGGAGCATGCGAAGAACCTGCTCCACCGCTTGTTTGGCAGGCGGGGATCCAGGAGCTGCTCTTGCTTGTTGCGGCGCATCCTGCAGCATGCGAAGTAGCTGCTCCACCTTGTTTGGCCGGTGGGGATCCAGGAAGGATAGGCCGCTGGGCACAAGGGGCTGCTCGGCGGATCCTGCTGAGGAGGAGCCCTTTGGCTGCGGATGGCAGTCAGCGGCAGATGAAGGACCGTGCCAGCTGCACCGTCCGAATCCTTCTGCTGCAATTCTTCCTCCCGGTGGAGAGGGGAGGTGACCTCGACCCTTCTTCCTCACGGTCAGTGGCACCTCCTGTTCCCTGTCAGCTGGTTCTTGGTGTTCATCAGCTGCGAAGCCATCGGAAGGAGGTCACCCTATCAGAGGGGTCGACTCTCGCATGGAGACTCGAGTTCATCGTGATGTCTCCGGCGCGTCCATAGTAAGTGTACCCAGGACAACCTCTAGCTGCCGATTGAACTCCTGAAGCTTGTCCTTTGTGATCCCCTCGATCGCTGTCTCCGTAAGCTTTGCAGCTGTGATTTCCTCATCCTGGGTCCGAGCCCAGACAAGGATCTCCGGGTCTCCGGGAACTGGCTTGTGGCGCCATGGATGTGGAGGCTTCTTCCAGGGTTCCTCGTGGCTTCTCGGGCCCGGCCTAGCCTTGGTGTCCACCACCGTTCCTCGTGGTCTCTGACCCTGTTCCAACAGCCTCTGAAGCTGTCCCATTTGCTCTTGCTGCGTCTGCAGCAGCCTCATAAGAAGCTGCTCCCTGGTCTGTCCGGGATTGGCAGATCCCGTCGCCATTCCGTCCAGGCAAGGCAGATCCCGAGACGTGTGCGCACCAAGGATCCTCGAGAGCCTATCCAAACGGCTTCGCGGGAAGTCCTGCAGCCTCAGCCCCAGGTTGCGGAAGAACCCCTGGTACTTTCGTACCTTCCGCAGCTTGGCCAACAGCCGAACCCAATTCCTCTGTGCGCGCTCTGGATCGTGAACCAATCTTCTCCCCTCCTCCCCTCAGCACGAGGTCGTGCCCTTGTATCACGAGCGGCACGCAAGAGAAGTGTCAGCACCATCCGCTACCATGAAACGCTAATTTTAGCAACCGCACACTTGAAACAAAAGTAACGTCAGTGTGAAACGACTGTACATCAGACCCAGAACCCAAACCATCCTAAACGGCAGCACCGTCGCTTGCGCCAAGGAATTTCGGGTCACTTGCGCAAAGAGTTGCCACGTCACTCGCGCAAAGACAGGTGTCGAATCCATTGTAAAAACCATAGGAAAGTGCACCTCCCAAGTTGGCGGAAACAGCCGAAAAGTGCGTTTTCGGCTGTTTTCAGAGAACATTTCAGAACCATTGAAAATGCACTTTTCGAGGCTCGGAAAGCACGTTTTCATTGGTCCCAAGGCGTGCGTTTTCAGAGCACGCTTTCGAGCGGTTCGCCCGATGTCGTGCGGCGAGGCGGGTGGGGTGGGCGGGGGGGCGGGTGGGCGGGGGGGCGGGAGGTGGGAAGTGGGGGAGGCTGATAATGTCCATGTTCGACGCGTGCAGCAAGAGCACGTCCAGTCTTCCAGACCGCAAATAGGCAGGAGGCTTCTGCTTATATGGTTTAGCAGATTCCATGTTGTTGAGAAAACCATCGAAAATGCGCTTTTGGAGGCTGCAAAAGCACGTTTCCGAAATTTCTCAGGAATAGACTAGACCTTGAACAGAACCCTCGAGGTGGGGGGTGGGCGGGTGGCTTTATAAATAAAGTCCAGGCCTGACGTGTTCGACGCACGCAGCAAGAGCATGTCCAGTCTTCCGCACCTCGGAACCAAGGAGGCTTTTTCTCAAAACGACAGCAGGGGCCGGGGCATGGTAACGTCCATGTTTGACACGTGCAGCAAGATCATGTCTAGTCTTCCGCACCTCGGAACCAAGGAGGAGTTTTTTAAAAGCACAGGAGGGGCTGGGGGGAATGGGGGGGGAGGCATGGTAACGTCCATGTTTGACGCGTGCAGCAAGACCATGTCCAGTCTTCTGCACCTCGAAACTAAGGAGGCTTTTCTTCTAAACGACAGGAGGGGGGCCGGGCGGGAGTGGAGAAAAAAAATCCATGTTTGACGCGCGCAGCAAGACCATGTCCAGTCTTCCGCACCTCGGAACCAAGGAAGCTTTTTTCAAAACGACAGGAGGGGGGCCCGGGGGGAGGGGGGGAAGGGGGGAGGCTGATAACGTCCGTGTTCGACGCGTGCAGCAAGACCATGTCCAGTCTTCCGCACCTCGGATCCAAGGAGGCTTTTTCTCAAAACGACAGCAGGGGCCGGGGCATGGTAACGTCCATGTTTGACACGTGCAGCAAGATCATGTCTAGTCTTCCGCACCTCGGAACCAAGGAGGCTTTTTTTAAAAGCACAGGAGGGGCTGGGGGAAGGGGGGGCGGAGGCATGGTAACGTCCATGTTTGACGCGTGCCATGTCCAGTCTTCCGCACCTCGAAACTAAGGAGGCTTTTCTTCAAAACGACAGGAGGGGGGCCGGACGGGAGTGGAGAAAACAAAATCCGTGTTTGACGCGTGCAGCAAGACCATGATGGTCATGTCCAGTCTTCCGCACCTCGGAACCAAGGAAGCTTTTTTCAAAACGACAGGAGGGGGCCCGGGGGGGAGGGGGGGAAGGGGGGAGGCATGGTAACGTCCAGGTTTGACGCGTGCAGCAAGAACATGTCCAGTCTTCTGCGTTTTTTTTTAAGCACAGGAGGTGCTAAAGGGGAGGGGGGGAAGGGGGGGAGGCATGGTAACGTCCATGTTTGACGCGTGCAGCAAGATTATACTGGGGGGGAGGGGGGAAAGGGGGAGGGATGGTAACGTCCATACTTGACACGTGCAGCAAGACTATGTCCAGTCCCCTGAAGCTCCAATAAGCTTTAAATAAGGTGACATGCTTAAGTTTCCCTATCAGGCGTAAACCTCATGCTTATATAAAGCTTTAAACTCCTTTTAAAGCTTATAACCTTTATTTAAACATTATAAAAGGTGTTTTAATGAAAATTTAAAGCTTTCAGCTTTAAATAAACATGAAAAGTACGTCTCTTAATTAAGGCTGACAGCTTTCAATTAAAACAACAAGTTTGACAGATTTTGCTGGAGGCAGGCTCCAGAAAATTGCCGTTAACCCTATCCTAAATCCTAAAATCAATCAAAGCATGCAGTCGATCACTCGCTCGATCATTTTCAAGCAGCTAGCACAGGCAGGGTGTTTCTGGCGTTGAACTTGTCCGCTGGGAAGAGTTTCCCGGAGTGTTGTGGCCGCCTTTGGCCCTTACCATGGCTGCAGTAGCTCCTCCGAAATCTTCATCTCTATAGCACCAGATGTCCTTTGGACATGTAGGGCTCTGCGAAAGGTGCAGGAGGAGGTGAAGCTTCGGTTTAACTCGCCAGGCGATATTGTCACCAAAGTGATCCCTCAAAGACACATACTGCAAAGCAAACCTTCTGACCTCTCGCTCCATGACGCTGGGGTCGTAGGGCTCGACATCCAGAGCCGCATAGCATGCCAAAAGCAAAGAGATGCAAGCCAAAACTGCAGAATCCAGATCCCCTGAGCTGTCCAAAAACTTTCGGCACACAGCATCCAAAATAGGTATCAACTTTCTGGTTTCTGCACCTTTGGCTTTGAGCTTTGGAGCTTTTCCAGCTTCCTTGCGATACATGGTCTCTGTCAATGTGGCCAGTCGATCGGATGCGACACCCTGGTTCTTGTACTCCTGCGAAATCTCTTTGTAGAGCTCTGCAGTTCGCTTGGTAATATTGGAACCAGGCATCTTGCTTTGCAGGTGGTACAGAACATTCCCAGCAGCATCTGCAGCACAACCCAAATCCATAATATGCAGCCAATCCAACCTGATGACTTTGAGACAAAAATTTGGAAACTGCCACACAGCACTCATGAACCTGTGCTCCTCCCAGCACCTCATGATAAAGGTCTCCTGATCAAAATATTGATGTCTCCAGGAGGCCTGCAAATCCACCTCGTGCACTTTATCAGGTGTCATGGGACAAAGCCAGCAGCAACCATTGTTTTCGTTGTGTGCTGGCAGGGAAAGGGTATCCTTGAACATTTTCCAGTCGCCCCTGATTTGTGTCAAACAAGCAACTGGCAAATCTGACCCAGCTAGACGAAGACGTGCCTTGTCGACCCGTAAATCGAAGGGGCTGCCATCATGCCTTCGAGAAGGATACCTTCCAAGAGCCAGCTGCTCGAAACTCCACACCAAAACCTTCATGGCTGCATCCATGGTACACTTCTTGGCTTCAAACATCTTCTTCAGACAGAACAGCGGCACTCGAAGGCCAGGAATGGATGGGAAACTTAGAGCTATAACTTCCAAGCTTTGGGACCTGTCCCAATTGCAAGGCACCCCGTCATTCCAGAGCCCCAGTGGCAGAAATGTCGCTGGATCTCTCGCTGGCTGGCACGACAAAGAAAACTTCCCAATCAGCTCAGCATCCTCTTGCAGCACATCCTGGATCAGGCTGAGTCACCAAATTCAAAAAGCTTCCCCAGAATTTCATGGGGAAGCAAAAACGGCAAGGAGACCTGGCGGTTCTCCTGCAGCTTGGGGTCATGCAGCTCTATGTCGGCATAGTAGCAGTCTGGCCAGTGGGACCCCTTCAACATTTTCCTTCTTAGGCTTCTGGCTGCATTCTTGTCTTGTACAGCGGCCAAGTCGTCCACACCACTGGCACCAGAAGATTGAGCACCCTTGAAAAGGGAAGCTGTCCTGGCAGCTGTGATCTGCCCAGACAAAAAAGCATCCGAAAGATTGGCCCGAAACCTTTTCTTCTCAGGCACGTCTTCCTCATTGTAACCACGACTGTTCTTGGAGTACATGGCTTCACATGCAGCTCCAGAAGCGAAACAAACTTCAGAAACTTGAGCACCTATACCCTGCATGCACAGCAAGCTAGCACAGTTGTCGGCTGAAGTCTGCGAGCTGCTGCTGCACTCGCCCTTTTGCATGCAAAGGGCCCTGTCTGCAGCTCGAGAAGATCGACCTTGGCTGCAAGCAGAAAACATTCAGCAAAAGCTTGAAAGACAATATGTAGTGCATGCTATTCGCGGCAGCAAAGCACTGTTTTTTTTTTAAGTTCGCCTGCCGTGGATCGCCTCAAAGCTGCTTTCGCAAAACTGCAGCAAAATGCTGCTTGCATGATATCCAGATCCATGCTCGATGGATCCTAGGCCTGCCAGCCCTTAACCTTCTTCAGCAACAACTTCACATTGTCAAGATGCTCATTGGCATTGCGATTCCACTGCTCCATGTCGGCTTTCTCGTTCTTGCAGGCTGCCTCGTCCATCGTGGGAAGCTTGCGATCCAGCAGGACCTGGATCTTTCGAAGATCCTCCACAAACTTCTTCAGAGCATCCAGGGTAACCCGGACCTCCGGCGCTTTGCTAGCGAGCTTGGGGCAATTCTCGAGAGCAATGCATTCCGAGCTCAACTCTCCATGCTTGGCATCCAGGCTCTTGACTGCACTGTTGGCCACTTTGCTCAAGTTGCTCAGCTCGGTCCGCTCGGGGTGCTCCAACTTCACCTCACCCTTGGTGCAGGCTTTTCATCTCCTTCGCTGCTAGGCTAGCACTCATTTCGAAGGTGCCTGACTCGGTCGATCGGGTTGCATCTTTGCTTTCCACCAAGGTCCGGTAAAAGTACCGGCAGAGCTCGGGCATCTTGTGCTTCACCAGGTTCCTCTCGTGCCCCCAGAAATCCTCGGATTCCTGGAGCAAACCCTCCAGCAACTCCTTCTGCCTCTTCTCTGGGAAGTCGCTGATCTTGAGGCCACTCAGGTCAAAAATTCGCGACCTCAGCGGCATTGCAAAACAAAACATTAAAAACAAAATGACCAAGCAACCTATATAAAATAAAATCTAAGAGTCGCTGTCATCATGCCCTTGATAGAGACATCCTCCTCGGCTTCCTCCTTCACAACCTTCTTGGTGTACTGGCCCACCCACTTCAAGTCCTTAAGGCCATTCTTCTGGTAGGCAGCGATGAATCCCTTTCGGTCCGAGTCGGCGATCTGCCGGTAGGCCTGGCACATGCAATACCCACAAAAAAATGTAATGCATAGCAAATGGAGAATTGCAACCCGGCCTCCAGCACTTGCTGGGCTTCGCTCTGGCACTCCCCACTCTTGTTTCTCACGCGGTCGGCTTTGTACTTCACAAGATTCAGCATCCTCTGAATGCTGGCTTTCATCTCCACCGGTGTGGGATCATCTCCAATCACCAAGGCACCGGACTTGGCCCTCTTAGCTTTCGGCTCCGTCTTCGGAGCAGCCTTGGCCTTATTCTTTGGGGCCATGATGCCAAAAGGGCAACTGTACAAAAGGCTCCAGTTATTTAAACAATTTTTGATCTGGAGCCACAAAATCGAAAGCGTGTTTTGATGCATTTGTTTATCATGCTGTGACAAAACGATGCAGCATATCACTGTTGCACCTGTGGCCCGGACACATGGTATCTGCAGCACATGCAGCAAGACACCTGAGGGTTTTGCTTTAGGGCTTCAAGCTTCAGGGATTAGAGGATTTGGGTTTCTGTAAGGGATTAACATAGATCCAAAGTATAGAGGTTCTACAAGGTAAGGGTGTTTATGTATATATGTCTAGATGTATATATATATATATATATATGTCCATTAATATATACATATATATATATATATAAGATTATGATACTAATCCTTTTTAAGGTTTTAGTACATATATATATATATATATCATATATTTTATATATGAGTATACTATATTAAATGACGATCGATATATTATACTTATAGATGACGATAAGTTCATGTACATCACACTATACATGCTTGTTACACCATTACATCATTATATCACAGTAACATTCACATGTTACTGTGATATGATGATGTAATGATGCCCCCACATAAAATTAAACTGGAACCCAAAACCTGCTAGGGCCAGAAGCCTTCTGAACATACTGGGCGATCCCTGAAACCACACCTTTGAATCCTCAGCATGTACACCACCAATTCACCTAAACCACTATACAACTGGAGCAACCCCCACCTTGCACAACCTTTATCCATGAGCCTTTGGAACACCTAGAACCTGTGCCACCGAACATATAGACCCTGGAAGATTGTCCTGAAGCAACCCAGACCGTAGCCGCACAGCAGCAAGATCTTTGTATTGTAGGTTTCCTGGAGGCTGTGGCCTCCAGTTAATAAGTTTAATAATTTGGTACACAGCTTATAGTGTTTTATATATACAGCACTACGTTTTCAACCGGTTGAAATTTCAACCGGTTGAAAAAGCCACCCAAAAGGTGGATGAAAAGCACAAGCCATTTTTCAACCGGTTGAAATTTCAACCCTTTTTCAACCCTTGCAACATTATAATAATTCTATAACACTGATTGTAAACATTAAAGCTTCAACCTTGAACCCAAACCCTAAACCTCAACCCTTATGCCTTAAACCCTAAACTTGGTAAAACCGAAAACCAAAAACCCTAAACCCTAAAAGCTTCAACCTCTACACCCCTGAACCCGGGCCCTCAAACCCTAAACATAACCTTTAAACACTGGAACTCTAAACTCTAAAAACACCAAACCCTAAACCCTTAACCCCTCAACCTGTAAACCCTGAAACCTTTAAACCCCAAAAACCTCTAACCCTAAACCCTTAACCCCTCAACCTGTAACCCTTAAACCCTAAACCCTAAAAAGCTCTAACCCTAAACCCTTAGACCCTGAACCCCTAAACCCCTGAACCTTTAAATCCTTAGACCCTAAACGCTGAAAGCCTTAAACCCTAAACCCTTGAACCCCCAAACCCCTCAACCCTTAAACCCTAAACCCTTGAAACCTTAAGCCCTTAACCCTTAAACCCTAAACCTTTATATTGCCTTTAACCCTTAAACCCTAATCCGCCGGTGCCTCGACACCCATGATGGGGATGCCCAGCCAACCTGCAATACAAAGAAGCTGCAAACACAACAAACAAAAAAACTGCACTGCATGCTACAGACTGCACACCATGCACTCTGAGGCCAAGACCATTGTTCAGGAGTTCCAAGGAACTCCTGCCAAAAAGCATGGATGATGAAACCCTGAAAACAACAGCACCACATGCCACTGAAAACGGTTCCAACACGAACACTTCTTTTCTGCACGATCGCTCTGATCATCATCGCCCTGGAAGATGCATGCTGCACAGGGGGTGAAACACATCACTCCTCATCCCTCTTTCTCTTATTCTTGCCCTCCTCCGAATCGCCCTTGCCATCCTCCTCCTCATCGTCCATATCCATGCCGGGCTCGTCCTCCTCATCCGGCTTAACCTCCTCGATAATTGGCCCTGGGCCCGCCGCCGGCGGCGGCATCGGCGGCTGCCCCGCCATCCCGGCTCCAATGGCCGCAAGCAACCCGGCGATGACATCTGCAGGGGAAAACAAAAAAACTGGAGTTCCAAAAAAAAACTCCAGCGAAAAATCTATAAAAAAAAATATTACAACTTATCATAATATATATCCCTGCCTGGGGATCCGGAGGCACCTGAGCTCCCAAAGAAATTGATGTTGATTGCCGGCACCGGTGGCTGAATCACTGTCGGATACCTGGGGATCAAAGCCTTCCCCAAGCTCTCGGCCTTGATGGGCGTCTTGTCCTGAAAGGCCCTCGGGATGCGCTTGCTGATAGGCGGCTTCAGCGGCTTCGGCTGGATGGGCGGCTTCGGCTCCGATGGCACCTTGGGCGGCTTCGGCTCCGAGGGCTTCTCCTTAGCTGTATATACATGGAGTCCCAAAATAGAACTCCAAAAAAAATTATTGAAGCTGAGATTCTGCACGGATGGTACCCGATCCCTTCGTGAAGCCCCGTTGGACTCCTCGCAGCCGACGGTTGATCCCCTTATTCTTCTTCTTCTTGGTCTTCTTGCTGGGATCCTTGGCCTCCTTGGCCTCCTTGGCCTCCTTGGCCTCCTTGGCCTCCTGGGCTTCCTTGGCCTTCTTCTCCTCGGCCGCTTTATTGTAGGCCCACCTCATGTTGGAGAGCATCTTCTCGAAGCCCTCAGAATCCTCCATCCAGCTCTTCTCCCGCTGCTTCCCCTTCGCATGATACTTCCAGTCCTTCTGGTGGACATAGTACAGGGGGCCTGCAGGGCGGAGCTGCATAAACCCTGATAAAAAAAATACGGGAGTCCAAAACGATTCCCGAATAAAATCGGAAAATTAACACACTTAAGTTAAGTCTTACTGAAGAAAAACCAAGGTGCATGAGGGATTGCTGCATCCTCCTTTTCTCAGACAGGCCACCGTTTTGCACTTACACATTCTCAAATCTGGCCCCGGCCGAGGGGCATCGGCCGGGGCACCCTCGGCTGGCACGGGTACTGCCGGGTCTTCCGCCCGGACCTCCGACTCCTCGGATTCCTCCTCTTCCAAATCCACAGCTGCACCGAGCTTGCTGGATGCCGCCATGGCGGCCCAAATCCAAAAACACAGCTACAAGCTCTCCAGAGCCCTCGAGCTCAAAATTCTAAGCATGGAGGCAAGAACTTCCACAAATCTGCTGCCCTTGCAAACAAAAACGAACATGAAGAATCTGCAGATCAGTCCTTGTCCTCGCAGTAGAGGGGGACGAGCACCATGGTCTCGACCTGGGCAAGCACAGGGGGCAAGGGGCTTCAAACCTACCCCGGGAGGCGGCGAACCTCCCGAAAAAAAAAACACTGCTTGGAACTCTCAAAGCTATGGCAGCTATGGCAAGCAGGCTCACAACCGAACTGAGGGCCCGGCAGGCAACAGGAATCTAATCCTATAGACCCTTAAACCCTCATTGCGCCAAAATATCTAGATTTG